AAACCCAGAATTTCTGGAAAGGGGACATCCGCGTGAAAAATTCGGATGTCCCTAGAACATCCGGATTTTTCAGGCGGATTTCCCCTTTTTTCCAGAAAATCTGGGTTTTTCGCCCTTTTTTTTCCAGATTTTTTATTTTTTGTTTTTAGTATTTCTTCTTTTTTTTCCGATTTTTTACGTTTTTCAGTTTTCGTTTTATTTTTTTTCGTTGTATTTTATTTTTCCAGTTGTTTTTGCAGAATTTTTTTATAATTTTCAGTTTTGGTTTTGTTTTTTTTTTCAGTTTAATTTTTTTGCTATTTTTTTTTTTGCACATTTTTTTTCTGTTTTTTTGGTTGTTGTTGTTGTTGAAGTCGTTGTTGTTGTTGCAGCTGTCGTTGTTGCTGTCGTTGTTGTTGTCGTCGTTGTTGTTGTTGTTGTTGTTGAAGTAGTAGTTGTTGTTGAAGTTGTTGTTGTTGTTGAAGTTGTTGTTGTTGTTGTCGTTGGAGTTGTTGTTGTTGTTGTTGTCGTTGTTGTTGTCTTTGTTGTTGTTGTTGTAATTATTAGTATGTTTTTGTTTAGTTTTTTTTTTGTAATTTTTTTTATTTTTATAATTTTTTTTTATTTCTTTATTTTTTAAATTGTTTATCTTTGTTAATTGTTTTTAATTTGTTTGTGATGTTTTTTTTTGTCGATTTATTTTTTATCCTTTTGTTTCTATGTTTGTGAGGTTTTTTTTTATTTGTTTATGGTTGTTAATTTTTTTGATCAGTTTGTGTTGTTTTTGTTTTTTTGTTTTTTTTTTATCATTTTGTTGTTATTTTTGTTTTTGTTATTCGTTTATGTTTCTTAATTTTTGTATATTAGTTTGTGATGTTTTTTTTTTATATTGAGTTTTTTTTTTTATTCTGTTGTTATTATCTTAGTGAGGTTTTATTTTTTTTCGTGTAATTTGTTTATGTTTGTTAATTGTTTTTATTTGTTTGTGATTTTTATTGTTTTTTTTTGTTTATGTTTTTTGGTTTGTTTTTGTGGTTTTGCTTGGGAAAATTTATTTTTGTTTATGTTTTTTTATTATGTACGTACTTAACATAGATTGAGGGTTCGGGAACTCGTCACGCAATATCTAGGCGTTTGAACGCCTCAGTTAGGCGGGAGTCAGGCCGTTTAGGAAATACGGTCGAACCGTTCGATCGCCAGCAACAGTATGGGTATGCTGGTAACTGGTCGGGGGAGCAGCAGCCAGAACGCAGCATCCCCATGTACTCGTCGGGTGGAGTGCCTTCACCTTCATCTGACGATGAGGACGACGAGGCAAGTCAGGCTTCCCGCGATCAAGAGTATGACCCTCGTTATTATCATACAGTGCATAGGGGTCAGACTGGGAGATTTGTCAGCAGTAGTCAAACCAGTCACCCTTCCACTAGCACAGCTGAGGCATGGGTAGTGCAGGAGGCGATGCCAGGAGGTCCTGAGGATGGGACCGTTATCCCTAGCTTTGGGGGGCATGTGGCTGCGTATATATGGGGCGGGCAGGAGCGTAATGTTTTGCGCTGTTTGGGCAGGACGCAATTGTGTTCTGAGTTGGTCGCCTGGCGAGGTCGTCTTGCACAGGAGCATCTGGAGTTGATTGACGGTAGCGGTCTGTCTCACTTACCTGGGATCATGTTCAGGCGTTTGGACTGGCCGCTGATTTCAGCTTTTGTTGAGAGATGGCAGCCAGATACGAACACGTTCCATATGCCATTTGGGGAGATTACGATCATGTTGCATGATGTGTACTACATTCTAGGGCTTCGTGTAGATGGTAGCATGGTGTCCGCTACTCCAAGCACAGACACCCTACGGGACGCATGCTCGATCACCATGGACTTGACTGCAGAGGAGCTGAATGAGAAGTGCGGTACCAAGACCATCTGGCAGGGTAGTGGGGTGCTGACGGAGAGGATTGCGGACTCAACCCTGGAGTTGCAGAGGCCTTTTAATGTCCATTACAGTGCCTACCTGTGGTTAGTGCTTGGCGGATGTCTGTTTCTGGACAAGAGTGGTAACCGTATCATCCGTCCTTCCTCAGCGAGCTTGTTGTGGATGATCTGCCGATCGATGAGTACTCTTGGGGTTCAGCTGTTCTGGCGTATTTGTATCGGCAGTGGGGTATGGCATCTAGGAAAGATGCCGATTCTATCGTTGGTTGTCTCACACTTCTGCAGGCGTGGATCTATGAGTATTTTCCGTGCTTTCGGCCTTAGCAGGGTACCTTGACTAGGGAGCTCAGTGTTCCGCGTGCCTCGGCTTGGGATGTGGGATCGGGATGCCCCAACAAGAGCATGGAGCGCCTCCTCGCATTTCGATCTAGATTGGATCAGCTGACCGATAATGAGGTTAACTGGCTCCCGTACGGGGTTGATCCGGCACGTCGCGTGCCAGCCACTTTATTCATCGGCTGCATCTAGTATCGGAGTATCATTGAGCCATACATGCCTGATCGAGTCGTTCGGCAGCTGGGATTTGTGCAGGACATTCCGGGGACCATTATCAGGCCTAAGAAGGCTAAGAGGCCGACAAACTTGAAGATGTATCGGGTAGAGTTCTCGACTGAGATGACATCAGTGATGTGGACTCGGTTTGTCCCTGGTTCGTCGTTCAGTGTTGTTCCCGGTGCCCTTACCCGACTAGGCGGTGGAGCTCCTACGGTCGGTCCTTAGTTACATGCAGTGGCTCTACCGATTTTCTCATCCTCGTATTTCTCCGGGTGGGTCTTCAGCTGGGGACAGACTTCCAGAGAGGACTAACACGGACTACGTAAGCACTTGTGTTTTATTTATACTTTAAATTTCATGTACGCTAACTGTGAATTATGTAACTAATGTGTTGTTCTCTTATTTGCAATGGATGGGTCGTTCCTTGGAGATTCACCGTAGGTCACTGGCGGAGTATCCCAGCATGTCGCCTAACACGAGGGGGATAACTGAGCAGCTGATTTTTGACTGGCAGACGAGGATGGGGCTGTGATCCACTTCTGTTTTTGTTTACCATTAGCTAGTCCATTTGAAACTTTGTTTTGTAAATAAAAATAATGTAATTGCGAGTTTTGTTTCAACTTTGTATCATTACTTTGATTGATTTCCTTATATTATATCCCTAGAGCTGTTCAACCTAAATTACATAAATTTGATCAACCTAATTACATAAATTCGTCTTCCAACGTAATAACATAAATAAGTTCAACCTAATTACATGTATGTATTCAATCTAATTACATAAGTTCGTCTTTCAACCTAATTACATAAATATGTTCAACCTAATTACATATATCTATTCAACCTAATTACATAAATATGTTCAACCTAATTACATAAATATGTTCACTGGCCAACTAATGCATCCCACATGTTCCTTCTAGCGATATAAAACTGATCCCATCCACCGACACTTAGCTCATGGTTCTCTATCCACCATCCTGCGATCGAGGGAAGAGGTGAATTGTCGACTAGATCAATGCAGATGAAATGTGATCCCCCAACTGTAGCGATGACAAATTCCCGGGTTGGTGCTCTGACCCCGGCTCGTGCCTGCAACGGTAAGATGGTGAGACAAGGGTAATAGCAGGTCGGGTCGTTACCTACACCAAGAATAATAACCACTGCGTTGAACCAAGTAGCAATAGGAAATAAATCTTCAATAGCAACCATCCAGTGCCGTGAATCAACAGCCCCACCATCCCATCGAATGCGGTCCACATTCAGCCACACCCTTCCTATCCCGTATATCCTTTCGTACAAGAAGGGGTGAGCGGCGACCTCATTCGCTAGTATTTCTCGAGCGTCATACCAGTTCGCTTGATCTCCAAGGAAGAAGTCGGCCACACAACAAAATCCGCAGTTACCATCGCCAATGACGTCCTTCCATCCCGTGATGTAAGGCAACATCGGTCCTGGGAGCAAGTGAAAATACCGACATTGGCGGATGTCACCTTGATCTTCTGCCGCTGCACAGTTTATGTTTTCTTTATGAGTACGCCAGGAGTTGAAATACGTGTAAATCACAAAACCAATAGCAAGCCGTACCTGTTTGCTGCGTACCACGTTCGGTGTATCGACGGTCCACATGTTCGAAGTAACTGGGATGTCGTCTAGTATCGTTGTTCCTTCGGCGACCTCGAACGTTGTGATTCACTTGCGGTTCTTCGAGGTTTGAATGATCCGGATGCAGCTCCTCCTCAATAATGCGAGATACATTTCGAAGTACAGCAGGATCACTAGCAACGACCTCATCAACCAAGGAACGGAAATGTGCAGCATCCTCGTTAGAATCGTTCACGAACTCCGGTACATTAACACAATCGCCGATGACCAAGGTCTTCCAGAACGGATGAATTTTCCTTCTATACAAGCCTATTTGCGCAACCAACGAGTCATGTATCTGGCAAGCGCATGGCAAACCGTGGGTCACACGCATTGCACATCCACAACGCTCATGCACCTGGTAACTCAGCTCCCTGATCCTTCTTGTCTCGTCATCTAGTACTTTCAGACAATGTTGAGACACCTTGCCGTTAATATGAGACAGTGGCAACTGTCTGTACTTCTCACCGATCTTCGACCTTGACGCCTCCAATGAATTACGAATGGCAATGATCTGGTTGCCAATATGACTATGTACTTGGGCCCAGACGATATCCAAAGAACCTGCCATTGAAGTTAATTATAAAAAACCCGTTGGTATTTACAAAAAAATGGAATTAAAACAAAGTACATACACCGGCTACAAAATTCCAACAAAATACCTGTCGAAGATTCGAACCACATCTTCACGGCCGAATGTTGACTCTCAACTCGGCAAGTGCTCGTGTTACCGAGGTGCAGAACCTGGTTCGTCCAGAATGTCACGAATTTGGTCTTATGACAAAGCCAGGTTCTCTCGACATAACTAATTACATTTGGGAAACTGGCCCACCGAGTTTTCATTCTGTCTACAGCTGAGTTATAATCCGCCTCGGTCGTGGCATCCATGATACGTTTTCAAGGACCTTTTTTGAATTGCGCCCCAATCTTCTTGTTCTTGAACATATTAGTGACCCGAGCCTCCACATCTTTGTTAATGTGCCACCAAAAAAGAAAATGCGACGTCCCGGGAAACTCTTCTCTCAATGCCGCACAAAGTCCAAGCTTACGGTCTGTCAGAAATACCGACGGCTCTTTTTTATACCCAATTAACTCTCTTAATCTCTGTAGAACCCACCGGTAGCTTCCCGTGCACTCGTTGCGCATGAACACATAACCGACGAGGAAATTCTGATTTGTCGGTGTCACACCGACTATCTCAAAGAACGACATCCCGTATCGGTTGGTCTTGTATGTCGAATCCATACCGATCACATACGGATACGTCCGTAGTATGTTCACCGTGATCGGGTGCACCATAAACGCATGCTGCAGAACGCCGACATCATCAGACATGACCCAGTAAATATACCGGCTCTCTCTCGCCAAATGCAGAAATTGCTGAACAACTCCTCTCCCATCAGACATCTCCGCTCTCAAGTCATTCCGGCAGTTGTAGATATGTCGGATGTTTGGATGATCATCGGAAAATTGCTCTGCAATTGACGCCATGATGTTCCACGGTGCAACCTTGGACTTTGTCATGTCCTGGACAACCTTCTTCGCATCCGGGCTCAAGCCACTAATCTTACGATGACCCTCCGGATAGACAATCATTGGATAGTTATGGGTTCCAGTTGCATCATTCTTGGCCCGGATCTTCCAACTGTCGGTGACGAAGACATAATAAATCTTGATGTAGAAAGGACAACCAATTGCTTTGGTTTTGGTGTCCCTCCTAATTGCATTCTGAAGATCTCTCGGCTGGCTCTTTCGGCCCCTAGCACACCTCAAATACCGGTACGACCGACCGTCTCTGGTTTTGTTGTAAGACGATGTAACCAAAAGAAAACCCAGATTTACGGCAACAGCACTCGCCCAATTAACTGCCTCATCAAACGTTGGAAACAACTTGTCTGTGGCAAAATGCGCACTATAATTCACATCGTCGGCACCATCTTCGTACTCCGAACCCTATAAAAAAAATGAAGACACACATAAAACACAAACACGTTACTTTTAATTCTAGTATAGACAATAATAGTAACAATATTAAAAATAATATTAACAATAACCACAACAATACTAAAAACAACTTAACAATAATCATAACAATACTAAAAATAATATAAACAATAAAAACATTAACAATAACACTAATATAAATAACTATAACAATAATAAAAAAATAATCGAAACAATAATAAAATTAATCATAATAATTACACAATTAAACATAACGATAATAAAAACAATAATAGTAAACACAATAATAACAACAATAATAGCGATACTAATAACCAATAACACACAAAAAAACAAAAAAAATAATAATAACCGTAAAATAATAATAATAACCATAAGAATATTAGCCAACATTAATAATAAAATAACACTAATACTAATAATCAAAAACATTAACAATAACACTAATATAAATAATCATAACAATAATAACAAAAATAATCGAAACAATAATAAAATTAATCATAATAATAACACAATTAATCATAACGATAATAAAAACAATAATAGTAAACACAATAATAACAACAATAATAGAGATACTAATAACCATTAATGCACAAAAAATTAAAAAAATTAATAATAACCATAATGATAATAATAATAACCATACTAATAATAGCAACACTAATAATAAAATAATACTAATAATAATAATCAAAAACATCAACAATAACACTAATATATTAAAAAAACAGAAAAGAAAAAAAAAAAACGGTTTTATGTCACTTCCGGATGAAATTTCCGGATGATCCGGATGAAAATTCCGGATCCTCCATGGAATATCCGGAAATCTTGTCCGGATGTGCCTAAAACAGAAACAAAATATTTTTTTACGAAACTTACAGAATCTTCCGACGATGCCTCCGGTGTGCGATCGTTGCCGTCATTCCACATCCTAAGCCCGTAAATTCAGCTCCAGAAAATTTTTGTGAACAAACTTTAAAAAAAACCGACTAGTCGGGATTTTGGGACTCGGAATTTTGGGACTCGGGAATTTTGAAAAGGAAACTTTGAGTGAAAGCGCTCGATAATGTTTTTAATATGATCGTGATTCGTTATGACTAGTCGGTGAACCTTTAAATAGCACAAAATCACCTAAGGGCAAAATGGTCATTTCAGTCAAAATTGGGAGCAACACCTGGTAAAAAGGGAGCGACGAATAGCGATTCACTACAAATATCAACGTGCCAAATAGGTGCAACATTGGCAGCCTTAAATCCCACCCAAAATACATAACAGAAGAAATGAAAGGCAACCAAGCTAGTAACTATGCTAAAAGAATTTAGCTTCATGATCCCGTTGTTTTAACTTTCACCCACTTACTCCTACTTACATCACGCGCACGTTTTCTTAGTGTTAGATAATTATTGATATTATCGATCCGAATTGATATTTATCGAATCTGGTATTAAATGTGGGATAAAAAAGGGTAGTATTATTTTAGTCTGGGGCTTAGTGGTAAAAAAAAGTGTACATCAAATGAGGTCCTTTTATCACTATGACGTGTAGTACTTTTTCGGTGTAGCAATCTTTATCATAGGAAAAAAGGAATGTTTGTCATGTCCCTACCTTTGTTGGGCATTAGTCTTTGTGAACTGCTAAACATCGCCCGCAAATCTCTACATAAAGCCCACAAATTTAAAGTAAAATGACACTTTTCCCTCAAAGTAAAAAACACACTTCTCTCTACACTCTACTGTCATTTTCTCTCTCTAATTTTTTTTTTTAAAAATGTCGAGGCGGCAAGGCAAGGAAGTGGCGGCACCGGTGGCGGGAGGAAGACGGTTTCGCGGTGGAAAGGTATACTTTAAATTAAAAAAAAAAAAACTGGGAGAGGTGGCGGCGCCTTACCCAGACGACACAACCACCGTGGCGGCGCCTGGGCAGGACGCCACAGCAACAATGGCGGCACCTGGCCAGGACGCCACCTGCTTTTTTTTTTCAATTTTTTTTAAATGTTTTTATTTCGTTTTTTTTTCATTATTTTTTTCCATTATTTTTATTCTTTTAAATTTTTGTAATTTGTTTTTTTTTGGATTTTTTTTTTTCATTTTTTTAAAAAATTATTATTATATTTTTTTTTTGTTTTGGGTGTTGTTTCAATTTTTTGGTTATTATTTTTTTTGTTTTGGTGTCCTTTTTTTTTTTTTTGGTTTTTTCTTTGTATTTTTGATTTTTTTTTGTTTTTGTTTATCTTTTCATTTTTTTGTTTGTTGTTTATATTTTTTTGTTTTTGGTATATTATTTTGTTTATGTTTATATTTTTTTTCAAATTTTTTTATTTTTTTTATGTTTATATATTTTTTTTCAAATTTGTTAATTTTTTTTTGTTTATATTTTTTTTCCGTTATTTATATATTCTTTTATTTATTTATTTTGTATTTACTTTTTTTAAGTTCATATTGTATGTTTTGGTGTTTTTTTTTGTTTTTGTGTGCATTTTTTTCGTTATTATTTTTCGTTATTTACATGGAGTTAGGCATCGCATTTTGGACCTGGTGCGGGGAAAAGTATGGACATTATGAGAATTACGATCTACTCAATGGAGAGCTCGGGGCCCAGACACGTTAGATCCCGCGGTATTTCAACCTCGGCTCGCAGAGAACGGGTGCACTATTCTGAGGATGATGAAGATGATGATGGTGATGAGGAGGAGGATGCAGATGAGGATGTCGACGATCAAAGTGGACCATATGATGATTACGGTCCATTCAGTCAGAGGCTTGATGATATGTATGAGACGCATAGGGTAGATGTGCGTAAGGGTAGAGATGGTAGATGTGCGTCCACTGTGTCTGTGGTAAGCAGAAAACGGTCGAGGGCCGTTAATGAATCTTGGGTGGTGAGGGGTGAGGTGGCTGGGGGACCTGTAGACGGGAGTGTGATTGCTAGCTTTCTAGGACACATCGCTACCCGTATCTGGGAGGACCAGGGTGGATACAAGCATTTTGAAATGCTAAACCCGGGAAAGACTTGTAACTTTTTGTGTAGTTAGGTTGATGCTTGGCCGGAGGAGAGCGAGATGGTCGGCCGATTGAGGGGCACTAGAGTGAGTCACCTTCCTGCCACCATGCACGAAAGGATTGACTCGACGCTGATCACGGCTTTCGTTGAGCGATGTCATCCGGATATGAACTCTTTCCACCTTCCGTTCGGTGAGATAACGATCATGTTGCATGACATTAAGGCCATCCTTGGGATTCCCGTAGAAGGAAACCAAGCATCTGTTGTCACTGATGCGGATCAGGCAGATTTACTAGCGGAGCTGTTGGCGGTGGATAGGGCTGCGCTGTACACAGCGGCACTTGGTGTGTGGGATCACGGCGGTGTTAAGATCGCAGCCGTTTTGCAGCGATGTTTGCACCCCACTGCACGTAGGACACAGGACACACAGCTGGTTGCGTATGTTTTTCTTCTTCTCGGGTGTACCATGTTTTCAGATTAGAGCGAAAACAAGCTCAGGCCATGCGACATAGTTGACGCGTGTGAGCCCGACAGAGTAGGCCAGTTTTCTTGGGGGTCAGCTACGTTGGCGTATATGTATCGCCAGTTAGGATTCTCAAGTCGGGCTGATGCGGCAGGTATCACTGGATGTATGACGTTGTTACAGACCTGGATATACGAGTATTTTCCTGCGTTTCGACCACACCGCGACCCGGTTCCTATTGGGGATGACCAGCCACGTGCCTGTGCGTGGAGTCCGCGTGTCGAGAAGAAGTCCATTGACCGCCTGCAATCGATACGGTTATCGCTTGACAGGATGTCCCCATTAGAGGTAAAGTGTTTAAATTATTTCTACTTTTATAGTTTAATGCGTTTATTGTATAAATCTTACTAATTTTAAAAAATGTGCAGGTGAACTGGATGCTTTTCGGCCAGAACCCTAGTAATAGGGTACCTAGGACCCTCTACACGGGACTGATTCAGTATCGTGAGATCGTAGAGGCGTACATGCCGCAGCGCTGTCTTCGCCAAATTGGATTTGTCCAAGTTGTTTCTCCTCCACTAGCATGGCCTAGTAAGGTGATCCGATATGCGTCGTCGAAGGAGTACGTCGTCCAATGGCCGGCAAGCATGATTGCCACGCTGGAGCAGTTTCGATGGTTGCCCGCATATGGATTGAGCAGCTGCTGCGGCCGCCAACTAGGGTGACTGCCATGTGTGACCAGCACTTCATGGAGTGGTACAACCGGCACTCGCACCCGAGGTTGATCAGAGACCTCCACCATGGCGACGCCGCCGATGATGATGATGTGCCACCGGCCACTGTCGTGGATGCGATACGTCTCATAAAACATTTGTTGTTGTGTTTTTTTTCATATAATACGTCGTTATTGAATTTTATGTGTTTTGTTGTGTGTAGTGGATAGGAAAGATGACGCAGGTGGCACATAAATTTTTTGAAAAGAGAGACAACATGACGGATGCATTAGGCAGAGCGACGATTGATGATCTGGAACGGACCCTTGAGCAGTAGCAGTGGGCGTCATAGAGGGATTACTGATCTGTGGGCAGTGCATTTATATAACATTTTGTACATTATCATAGTTGTTTGTAAAAGTTGACATTATCTTTTTATTTTGTAACATTTGAAATTTTTATATTAAGTTTTTAGAATTTGACATTATATTTTTAGTTTTTAAAATTATTATTTTAAGTTCTAATTAGTGTGCATGCAAGATGTAAATTAGAATACGAAAATTAAATAAATGGAAAAAAAATAGCAATAACAATACAAGGTCACATAGAAAAGGTAGGTGTACACGGGAAAAACTAAATGGCAACTAGATTGTTCCACTGCTGCACCCGGGCATGATACAGCCCATCCCAACCCTCTACGCTTGTTCTACGAATGGTGTACCACTTCGGTATGATCGGTGGGACCGGAAAATCGGGTGACAGGTCCAATCAGATGAAATGTCTGTATGACGGCCCCAGAAATCCAATATCAACCTCTCTTACCGGTCTGGTGACGGTCTCACGTGAACACCAAGGCAGAACCGTGGTACATGGATGATAAGCTCGACTATGCAAACCAAGGCCGAAATGCATGACTGCACACTTGTAGATGTTTGCAATGGCAAAGAGATCAAGTGGTGCGTCGAACCAATGATTTTGACCACAAGGTCCTCCTCCCCACCGGATACGTTGCAAAGACTTATCCAAGTCCTGGTCGTACACATGGCGATAAACACCTCGGTTTGAGGCGATTTCACTGTACATCAGCTGACGCACTTAACCGTAGTTGTCTTCACCTATCTAAAACAAATCAGCCACAACCCGAAATCCGTAGTTACCATCTGCAACCACATCATTCCACCCGTCCAAGAATAGCATCATGATGTTAGGGATCCTGTCCTTATATGGAAAATGTTCAATATCCATTCTACCTGTTGCACACATCAATAAACACAATTAACAAGTCAGCAGTAAACAAAGTAAATTAAAGTAAAGTACCGTACTGGTGCGGTGCCGGGCATATTCACCGACAAAGAAGATTGGCTACCACTTGATGACGATGTACGACCACGACCACGACCACGACCACGAATGTACTCAAATGCACTCCTGTTTCGCCGTGCTTGTCGACCTCTAGGTCACCCGACCTCTTCAGGTTCCTCGTGATCCAAGCATGACGTGTTGAACATGTCATGAAGTACGTGGGTAGCATCATGAATGATTGAAGGGTGGCTGGAGGACACTTGGTCAAACATCGAACTAAACTGCTCCAACTCCTCATGTTCACGGTGGACCATCTGTGGAACAGCATGCTCTCCAATAACGAGCGTCCACCAGAATGGATGAACCTGATCAACATGTAACGACGCCCTATCTTGCGTAATTACGCGGTGAATGGTGCATGCACAAGGTAGTCCATGAGTCACTGATATAGCACATCCGCACCGAATAGCCACTTCATCACCCAACTCCCTCATCCTGTTGTGCTCGCTCAGAATCAACCCTAAGCAGTAGTGTGACACACGACCATGGAGAATCTTAAATATGAAATGGCTATACATCATGCCATGTCTCCGTTTAGAGTCCTCAAGAGAGTTCTTGATGCTGTTCTTTTGAGTATCAATAGCCTTGTTTATTCTCTCGAACAGTGTATCCAGAGCAGAGGTGGAAGAATCAATCCGGTCCTTCAAAGCTCTATGAGCGCTCTCAACTCTACATGTTGTAATGTTTCCAAAATGAAGAACTTGATTTGTCCAATATTTGACAAACTTTTCCCTCTGAGGTACCCACTGTTGCATCACATAGTCTACCATTTCCGGGCACCATTGGTACGCATCCTTGAAGTTATACAAGGCTCGATCGTACTCTCCCTCTATGGTAGCTTGCAGGATCTTCCGCCACTTACCATTTACCAATCTCTTTATTGAATCTAAATTCTTGTTGAAAAGATTGTAGGCTTTGACTTTCACACAGTTGTTGATGTGGCATGTGCACAGTAAATGGCTCGACTCCGGAAACAGCTCCGCTAAAGGGGCAAAGAGACCTCCCTCACAATCATTGACGATGGCCGATGGCTGAAAATTTGGGCCGATGTAATTTCTCAACTTCTCCAACACCCAACGGTAACTCGCAGCTGTTTTGCAGCAATGTTTGGGATCACGGCGGTGTTAAGATCGCAACCATTTTTCAGCGATGTTTGCACCCTACTGCACGTATGACGCAGGACACACAGCTGGCTTCATATGCTTTTCTTCTTCTCGGGTGTACCTTGTTTCCGAATAAGAGCGGAACCAAGCTCAGGCCACGCGACATAGTTTACGCGTGTGAGCCCGACAGAGTAGGCCAGTTTTCTTGGGGGTCGGCTATGTTGGCGTATATGTATCGCCAGTTAGGATTCTCGAGTCGAGCTGATACGGCAGGTATCATAGGATGTCTGACATTGTTACAGACCTGGATATACGAGTATTTTCCTGCGTTTCGACCACACCGCGACCCGGTTCCTATTGGGGGTGGGCAGCCACGTGCCTATGCGTGGAGTCCGCGTTTCGAGAAGAAGTCCATTGACCGTCTGCGATCGATACGGTTATTGCTTGACAGGATGTCCCCATTAAAGGTAAAGTGTTTAAATTATTTCTACTTTTATAGTTTGATGCGTTTATTATATGAATCTTACTAATTTTAAAAAAATGTGCAGGTGAACTGGATGTCTTTCGGCCAGAACCCTAGTAATAGGGTATCCAGGACCCTCTACACGGGACTGATTCGCCAGCTTGGATTTGTCCAAGTTGTTCCTCCTCCACCAGCATGGCCTAGTATGGCGGTCCGATCTGCGTCGTCGAAGGAGTACGTCGTCTAATGGCCGGGAAGCATGATTTCCATGTGGGAGCAGTTTCCGATGGTTGCCTGCTTATGGACGGCGGAGCTGCAGCGGCCGCCAACTGGGGTGACTGCCATGTGTGACCAGCACTACATGGAATGGTACAACCGGTATTCGCACCCGAGGTTGATTCAAGACCTCCACCACGGCGACGACGCCGATGATGATGATGTGTCACCGCCCACTGTCGTGGATGCGGTACGTCTCATAAAACATTTGTTGTTGTGTTTTTTTTTATATAATACGTCGTTATTGAATTTCATGTGTTTTGTTGTGTGTAGTGGATGGGAAAGATGATGCAGGTGGGACACAGACTTTTTGAGGAGAGGGACTGCATGACGGGTGCATCAGGTAGAGCTGCTATTGATGATCTGGAACGGGCCCTTGAGTAGTGGCAGTGGGCGTCACAGAGGGATTACTGATCTGTGGGCGGTTTATTTATAGAACATTTTTGTACATTATCATAGTTGTTTGTAAAATTTGACATTATCTTTTTAGTTTGTAACATTTGAAATTATTATTTTAAGTTTTTAAAATTTGACATTATCTTTTTAGTTTGTAACGCGCAAGATCTAATTAGTGTGCATGCAAGATATAAATTTAGTCAAAATTAGAATATGAAAAATAAATAAATGGAATAAAAATAGCAATAAAAATACAAGGTTACATAGAAAAGGTAGGTATACGCGTGAAAAACTAAAAGTCAACTAGGTTGTTCCACTGCTGCATTTGGGCATGATACAGCGCATCCCAACCCTCTACGCTTGTTCTACGAATGGTGTACCACCGAGGTATGATCGGTGGGACCGGAAAATCGGATGACAGGTCTAATCGGATGAAATGTCTGTATGACGGCCCAAGAAATGCAATAGCAAACTCTCTTACCGGTCTGGTGACGGTCCCACGCGAACACCAAGGGAGAACCGTGGTACATGGATAATGAGCTTGACTATGCAAACCACGGCCGAAATGCATGACTGCACACTTGCAGATGTTTGCAACGGCAAAGAGATCAAGTGGCGCGTCGAACCAATGATTTTGACCGCAAGGTCCTCCTCCCCACCGGATACGCTGCAGAGACCTATCCAAGTCTTGGTCGTACACATGGCGATAAACATCTCGGTTTGAGGCGATTTCACTGTACATCAATTGACGCACTAAACCGTAGTTGTCTTCACCCATCTGAAATACATCAGCCACAACCCGGAATCCGCAGTTACCATCTGCAACCACATCATTCCACCCGTCCAAGTATGGAATCATGATGTTAGGGATCCTGTCCTTATATGGAAACTGTTCAATGTCCATTATTCCTGTTGCACATATCAATAAACACAATTAACAAGTCAGCAGTAAACTAAACAAACATTCTAAAAATTAAATTAAAGTAAAGTATTGTACCGGTGTCGGGCATATTCACCAACGAAGAAGATTGGCCACCACTTGATGACGATGTACGACCACGGCCACGGCCACGACCACGAATGTACTCAAACGCACTCCTGTTTCGCCGTGCTTGTCGACCTCTAGGTCACTCGACCCCTTCAGGTTCCTCGTGATCCAAGCATGACGTGTTGAACATGTCATGAAGTACGTGGGTAGCATCATGAATGATTGAAGGGTGGCTGGAGGCACTTGGTCAAACATCGAACGGAACTGCTCCAACTCCTCCTGTTCACGGTGGACCATCTATGGAACAACATGCTCTCCAATAACGAGCGTCTGCCAGAATGGATGAACCTGATTAACATGTAACGACGCCCTATCTTGCGTAATTACGCGGTGAATGATGCATGCACAAGGTAGTCCATGAGTCACTGATATAGCACATCCGCACCGAATAGCCACTTCATCACCCAACTCCCTCATCCTGTTGTGCTCGCTCAGAATCAACCCTAAGTAATAGTGTGACACACGACCATGGAGAATCTTAAATATGAAATGGCTATACATCATGCCATGTCGCCGTTTAGAGTCCTCGAGAGATTTCTTGATGCCGTTCTTTTAAGTATCAATTTCCTTGTTTATTCCCTCGAACAGTGTTTCCAGAGCAGAGGCGGAAGAATCAATCTAGTCCTTCAAAGCTCTATGAGCGCTCTTAACACTACATGTTGTAGTGTTTCCAAAATGAAGAACTTGGGTTGTCCAATATTTGAAAAACTTTTCCCTCTGAGGTATCCACTGCTGCATGACATAGTTTACCAATGTCGGGCACCATTAGTACGCATCTTTGAACTGCTCTAAGGCTTGATCGTACTTCTGCCTCCGTGGTAGCTTGCAGGATCTTCCACCACTTACCAAATACCAATCTCTTTGCAGAATCTAAATTCTTGTTGAAAACGTTGTAGGCTTTGACTTTCACACAGTTGTTGATGTGCCATGTGCACAGTAAATGGCTCGACTCCGGAAACAGCTCCGCTATAAGGGCAAGGAGACCTCCCTCACAATCACTGACGATGGCTAATGGATGAACATTTGGGCCGATGTAATTTCTCAACTTCTCCAACACCCAATAGTAACTCGCAGCCATCTCATCCTTCATGACTGCATAACCAATCAGAAAGTTCTGGGTCGTTGGAGCCATCCCAACCATCTCAACCAGTGAGAACTTGTACTTGTTTGTCTTGTACGTTGAATCGATCAAAATCACAGATGGCCAAGACGAAATCATATAAGCACAATCAGGATGCACAAGGAACAAATGAGTCACCTCTGATGTGTCTTCATCAGATTCAAACCAGTACAGGTAACCACGTGCTTGTGCCTGGTGTAGAAGCTGCTGTATAGGGTTCCTTCCCTCTGACCGTTCAAACCTCAATTTCTGTCTGACATTATAGATGTGTCTTCGGTTTGGTTGGTCTTCAGGAAATTTCTCCAACACAGATGC